CCCTAAGAGAGTATTATCTACTAATAACTGCACTCAAAGTGAGACACCAGAGAATGAAAGCATCGGTCTGATATGTATTAAAAAGGCAAAGGTCACAAATACCAATAAAGCAAAACTGGCTTTCAACTAAAGGCAAAAATTCTTACCGAGTCTAGGCTGCCACGATTGGAGTCCATGCTGGTACCATGGGAACGCCTCAAGACCTCCTCACCATTTAGGGGCTCAGCCAAGGTGCTGCCAGTATCTCCAAAACCATCAAACTCCTCGTGGTCATAGTCAGACTCCACATCTGGTGGGAAGCTGTAAATTGGCTCTCCCATCTCCCCACTGTTACTCCTCAGGGTTTCTGAGACTGTGTTATAAATACTTTCTGTGGTGTCAGATGGGGCACTGTGCTCCTCGGGGCTTTCCACAAGATGATCTGTAGTGCTGTCTACCTCCACTTCACCCCTTCTCCGAAATGGTAGATTCATATATGTGTCTTCCTCAGTGGAGTTGTCGCTGGTTCTGGTGCCGTGTTGATCCAGAACAACCAGGCTGGGGACAGAGAGCCCCTCATCATCAGCATGAAAGCCTTCATCTACTTCTTCCTCAGCCAGAGGCGCCACAAGGCTGCAGTCAATGTTGAGGGTTCCGTCATTGGAGAGTGAATGTTCTAGGCTTTGCACACTTTCATCCAGGTTTCCAAAATCCAGTAGTTCCAAGAACTCTTGAGCGACCCTGGATGCTTCCTTCTCTAGCCTCTGGATCTCCTCTTCTCGCTGCCGGTTAATCTCATTCTTGGTGTTTTCGCAGGCAATGGACATGTGATCTGCCTTCTGCTGCTGCTGTAGCTTCTCAATCTCCTTTTCCAGCCTTAGGATTTCCTCCATCTGCCTTCTCTCCTCTTCCTGCAGTGGGATCTCCTCCTCCTGCATTCTTAACACCTCCACCTTAAAGAAATTGTGCCAATATCAAATTAAAGAGCCCCAACCTACAGAGGGGCTGCCTTCCTGGGTCCTCCAATTTCTCTTCCCCACAGGAACATGCCTGTTGTGTATTCTCACTTTCCCTCTATAAAAAGCCACTGCGTGCATCCTTTCTGCTTTTCCCACTCTGCATCCCTTGGGCATCTGTGGGCCAAAAGCCACAGGGGTAATTACCACATCTTTACTCATCCTCTTTCTTCCAGTCACCTGCTTTCTAGGTTGGAAATTCTAATATTAGTGTCAGGTCTCTGTCAAAGTCATTTGCAGGGAGGTGGGGATGCACTTCTCCCTCCCACTCCAATACACAGCTATGGTATCTCCAGTCAAGGCATATAGTTCTGAATTTCTCAGCTGCTCTGTAGCCTCACTGGAAGGCTAGCTGCTTTATTAGAGGACCAGGCCTGTTCACCTGCTATCCACACTGAAGTATGGTAGAGATGAAGGAAAATTCCAGGAAATGCACCACAATATACAGATGATGAAGGAGACTGGAAAACATTATGACAGTTTGGAGAAAAACAGGGGCCCCCTCTTGCTCCCCTCCCCCCCCCATGAGCTGGAAAATGATTATTGATGGGCCTACAATAAATATTAAAGGTATCATGTAAATCCACGTAGTTCCACACAAATATGACAGTGCAGCCAACTAGGTGGTCTCTTCCTTCCACAGTGATCAGTGCCTGCTTGGGTTAAGAATCAAACTGTTGTTTAGATCCTATTTTTTGCTAGTTCAGTATGTGCATTAAAAAGTTATTTCATTTGGATCTCTCATCTACCTGAGCTGACAAACCAGGATTAAGATGAAGAAGATAAAGGAAGGAGACCAGAAAATAACAAGTTGTTTTTACAATCCGCTTGTTCAACATGCTCAGTTATGTTACTAGAACCCTGAATGGTTAGATTGGCAATCATAAGGTGGAGATGCATAGCCCTTCTAACTCCTTTCCACTCTTCCTTTGTTTTGATTGTTGCAGACAACAATATAGCAAAAAGGACTGTGTCACACAATGCAGCTCATCAAAGGGTCATGTGCCATAAACTCACTGTCAGAGATAAAATAGGATGCAACCTGTCTAACCCTGAAATCTCTAGATAGGAACTATGCAAGAGGATACTAAAACCATGAACATGCCAGGTTAACTAGACAACCGTTCTGCTGCGGTCAGGCACCTGCAGATTAAGAAGGAAAATAATGCTTTCATAGGGAGTTTTTCTAACATGTTTTATCACAATAAAATAAAGATGCATATTTCAGGAAAAAGCATAGTCAGTGAAGGCAACCAGCAGAGAGGCCTGAGCTACAGAAGGTCCAAAGAGGAGACGCAGCAAAGGAATCAACAATTAAACTTACCTGAGCCACCTGGAGTACAGCATTCAGCTGCTCTTCTTCTCTGTTCAAAAGAAGACAATAGTAAGTGACAAACCCAGATCATCTGAGTATTTTAATAGAAATGATGGAGAATTCTCTCTCCATGGGTAAGGGTGAAGTAAGGCTCCTGTTATAAAGCTGATTTATTAAAACCACCAAGCTCCTTCACGCTTGGCATGGCCCATCCTCGCACATGCATCCTTTACTTTGAGATAAATCAGGAAATTGGATCAAATGGAATGGGGCTGAAAGGACAAGAAGGCAGGATTACATAAACTCATTATGGTCTTGTAAAGCCCATTGTGGTCAATGGGAGGCTTTTCCACTGATTTCCAAGACCACTGGATCAGGCTCTATGTGCACAATTTCAGTTTTGAGGAAGTTCTCTTTTCTTTTTTAACTATGACAGGGCCATGGCAACACCATAGTTAAGCTTGTGTTCTGATTAGCACTTGACATAGCTACACTGTGTCTCAGAAAGAACCTGCCAAATCTAAGCACTTTGCTAAGTGGCTGAGACTAGACCCTTCCACGCTAGTGATCTGGGTTATATTTTCAGCTTGCATAACCGCTCAGTGGCATATGAGACCTTTCGCAATAATCAAGATTGTAAATTACATTGAATTATTAATACCAGGGAGCTCAAAAAGTGAAACCCAAAGTGTCAATCTCCTGGTTCCCAGCCCGGTGCACCTTCTCCTGAGCCAGACAGTACTTTGTTGGGAGAAAGCAGCCACCACAGCCATTGCGCATGTGGCATTGCATGCGCAGTGCTGATGTAACGGGTATGGAGGATTTCAGCAGTCTTCCCACAACAACTTCTACTGAGCAAAACACAGACAGGAAATGGTGATTTATAAAACTTAGCCCAATCTTAAAATGAAAGGACACAAAGAGAAGCAATTCTTTAATTGCCTATATACCAATGCTAGGAGCCTGGATAACAAACAAGAAATGAAATTGCTTATTCATGAGCATAAATTAAATCTAGTTGGTACTGCTGAAAGCTAGTGGGTTGATTTGCATGACTGGAATGTTAAAATAAATGGTTCTGACCTATTTAGAAAGGATCGAGGGGAAGCGGCACACTATGTCAAAAATGGCATTACCTGTTTCCAAGTCACTGGTAACTCAAAAGAGTTATCTGCCCTGGCTGAGCAGAAGCTAGCGGTGACCATGCCTTGCTCCCTGCTCTCACCTACCCCCAAGGCAGGTTTCTTTTGTTAAAAGGGCTATGCCCTCTCACTTTTAAAAGTGGAGGGACCATGGCCACCCTGACCCTCTTCCTGCAGTTTCAGTGCCCCTGGGCTCCCAGACCCTCCAGCTGCCCTGGGGGGCGGGGACGGGGACAGGGCTGTTCTCAGGCACCCCAGCCCCCCGCCCTATGTCATCTTTGGAGGGATGCTCTTCTCCTCCCCTAGACGAGTGACCTCCACTTTGCCTTCCCCTCATTCCCTCCTCCTTCCAGTGCTACACAAGATTCGCCAGGACAGAGCCAACATCATCCTCATAGCCACTTTCTGGCCCAGCAGTTCTGGTTCACGGACATCCTCAGATTCTGGCTTCCGCACACTCCTAGATCTCCTCACACAAGATCAAGGGAGACTCAGTCATCCCAATCCAGACCCTCTTCCCATCACAATCTGGTATTTGGATGGGCACCAAGTGTGGACTGTGCATACTCTGCCTCGGTTCGGCAAAGCGGGAGAGAATTCACCAGAGCCTGCTACTGAAAGTGGAGAGGTGTTGACCCACACTACCTATTATATCCTCGGCGGGGAACATGACGAGATGCACAACACACATGCGGGTCAATGGACACTGCTAAGAAACACTTCTAGACTCAGGTGCTTGGTGCGCATGCGCTCCCATGTGTGGAATAAGATAGGGACCACATATCTCTAAGAACTTCCAATTGTAGGTAAGTAACCTCCTCATCTGCATGATTTTTAATCTCCCTGTAAATTTGATCACAGATTCCAAGGACAGAAGGGAGCATTGGAATCATCTAGTGTGATCTCCTGTATAGCACAAGCCATAGAATGTCCCCAAAATAATTCCTATCTTTTAGAAAAACATCCAATCTTGCTTTAAAAATTGTCAGTGATGGAGAACCCACCACAACTCCCAGTAAATTGTTCCATTCATTAACTACCCTCATAGTTAAAAATGTATGCCTTATTTCCAGTCTGAATTTGTATAGCTTCAGCTTCCAGCCAGTGGATTGTGTTATACCTCTCTCTGCTAGATTGAAGAGACCATTATTAAATATTTGTTCCCCATGTAAATACTTATAGACTATGATCAAGTCACCCCTTAACCTTCTCTTTGTTAAGCCAAATAGATTGAGCTCTTTGAGTCTGTCACTATAAGGCATGTTTTGTAATCCTTTAAGCATGCTTGTGGCTCTTCTCTGAATCCTCTCCAATTTATCTACATCCTTCTTGAACTGTGGGCACGAGAACACAGGATTCCAGCAGCCGTCACACCAGTGTCAAATATAGCGGTAAAATAACTTCTCTATTTCTACTCAGGATTCCCTTGTTTATGCATCCCAGGATCCCACTAGCTCTTTTGGCCACGGGGTCCCACTGGGAGCGCATGTTCAGATGATTATTGTTCATGACTAATGCTGCGAGTTTGTCATGGAAGTCACAGATTCCGTGACTTTCCTTGACCGCCGTGACTTCTGCAGCGGCCACCGTCCCCTCCCCACCCTCCCCCCCAGCAGCAGCAGGAGTTTGGGTGCGGGGCTCAGGGCTGAGGATTGGGGTGCTGGAGGGGGTGAGGGCTCTGGGCAGCGCTTACCTCGGAGAGAGGGGGCTCCCCAGAAGTGGCAACATCCCTTGGCTCATAGGGGGAGACGTGGCCGGGGGGTCTGCGCGCTGCTACCGCTGGCAGGCACCGCCCCACAGCTCCCATTGGCCGCAGTTCCCAGCCAATATGGGAGGTGCAGAGCCGGCACTTGGGGAGGAGGCTGCGCACAGAGGTGCCTGGCCATGCTCCGCCTAGGAGCTGGGGGATATTGCTGCTTCCGGGGAAGCGTGGAGCCGGGTAGGGAGCCTGCCAGTCCCGCCAACACTCCCCCAGCACCAACGGGGGTCCCAGGCCCCCCCAGTATCCTCGGCGCCTCCCCGGGCCATCCCTCTGAGCACCCATGGCACCCCCCAGGCTGTCCCCCCGAGCACCCGCGGGCCGCCCCCCTCCCCAAGATTTAGTCAGGGTATATAGTACAAGTCATGGACAGGTCATGGGCTGTGAATTTTTGTTTGCTGCCCATGACCTGTCCATGACTTTTACTAAAAATACCTGCGACTAAAACATAGCCCCTTATTCATGACCCCCAAACCTTTTTCAGAATCCCTGCTTCTCAGTATGGAGCTGACAGCAACTAATACCGTGTCTTGTGCTTTATCTGTTAGGACACTGAGCCATAAGTATTCAAGATCAATATTTATAGTGGGGATGATGTGAGCCTTTGAACCAAACTGTAAATCCTGTATCTAATGGAAACAATTTCAAGTCAGGGGGTGCTGCAGCACCCCCTGAACCCTAGTTCCTATGCCGGCAGGCTGTGTGTGTGGCTGCAGCTCCCAGCCCCCACTGGGCAGATGAGGCCTGTTCTGGGCAGAGGGAGCCCAGCTCAGGGGAGGTGGAGGTTGCAGTGTCGGGAGACGGGGAGGAGATGGATGTAGTTTGGGGAGGGCAATGCCCCCCCAAACAGGGGCGAAGTGTGGGGGATGCATGTGGGATCACATACCATTGCCCCCTCTCATTTCTGCCAGCGCTGAGTAACTCAGTGAGAGGCAGTGGGGAAGGGAGGTGGGGGGGTGGGGAAGAGAAGAGGAATGAGGGAGT